TCCCAGACACTCCGCTGTCTATTACGGCACCATGAAAGAGGACATAGATGGTAACACCAAAATCCTACAGAAACGGAAGCTAGAAGCAGTGTTAAATAGAAACAAACAGAAATGCCATCAATTTTGTGGGCTTTTGTATCAACAGCTCTATCCATTATTGTGACCTTGGGCACATTACTTAACTTCTCTATAGTTCATTTCCCTTCTCTGTAAAATGAGTATTATCATCTAGTCAATAATATTTATTGTTATTATACAGCAGAAATTGTTCTGGGCAGCAGTGATGAAAATAGGGTTAAGGGGAGCTCAAAGTCTGGTGAGAGAGACGGACTTACAGAAAGACAATTACCACATGGTAAATGCAGTAGATGTCACTCGGAAGCATTGAGAAAACAGCTAAGGATGGGGAAGGGTGAGTTTGAAAGTGGGGGCTTAGGGTTTATCTTGAAGGGATTCAAAGAGCTCACTAGATAAAAGCACCTAGCACCCCCCACATTGGTAATAGGCACCCTGCTAATGTTAAGTTGCCTTGCCTTCCTTCTGGAGTGATCTTAGGTGCAGCTTCTTGCAACAGAACTGAGCATTTTGCACTGGGCAACGTCAAAGTTGTGAAACATAAACCCCTTCGGGGAGATAAAATCCTGCATTCTTTACCAATGAGTATTACAAAGACTATACTCAAGAAGCTGTCCCATGACTCCCTAAAGCCTGGAATTTAACAAGTTTTCTTGGTCAAAGCCAGCTTGCTATTTCAAAGACACAACCTAGTTTCAAACCCTAGGGAGTCATGAGGAGTAATACACAAAGAAAGAAATTAAGAAGGGGAAAGAAATGTGAAGTCAGCCAAGATTTTTCTTAAGAACTTTGGCCTTTTCTCTTGACCAATTATGCAACTATTTAAAAATTGTTAGGCATAAAGTTTGGAAATATTTTTCAATAAAACATTAAAAGCATAAAATCTTTGGAGTGCAAAATGCTTTGAATGAATGAATGAATAAATGAGTGAGTGAAATGGGTTTCTAGTGTACAGTATTTAAAGTACTTGACTTAGCTGTCATTCCTCTTTCCTCTTCCTTGTCAATCAAACCAATCCATTATTCTCATGATCCAAGATCTGGCCTCGGAATCTTAACACAATAAGGAAGGCACTACTAACATAAAGAAATGGTTGCCCTTGCCGGTGTGCACAATGGTTAGAGCGTTGCCCTTGCATCCAAAGGTTTCAGGTTCAATTCCAAGTCAAAGGCATGTACCTGGGGTGCAGGTTTAATCCCCAGCCCCTGCTGGGGCGTGTGCGGGGGGTAACCAATCAATTGTATCTCTCTCACATCGATGTTTCTCTCTCTCTATCCCCTTCTCCCTCCCTCCCTTCCACTTTCTCTAAAAATCAATGGGAAAAAAATATCCTCGGGGAAGGTTAACAACAACAACAAAATTGTAGTTACTGGAGGTGAACCTGGCAGGATGGTGGAGAGTGGGTGAGGGTGAGGCTCTTTAAGAATGGCGCAGTGAGCCCTAGCTGGTTTGGCTCAGTGGATAGAGCGTCGGCCTGAGGACGGAAGGGTCCCAGGTTTGATTCCGGCCAAGGGCACATGCCTGGGTTGCAGGCTTGATCCCCAGTAGGGGGCATGCAGGAGGCAGCCGATCAATGATTCTCTCTCATCATTGATGTTTCTATCTCTCCATTTCTCCCCCTTCCCCTCTGAAATCAATTAAAAAAAAAAAAAAAAAGAATGGCGCAGTGAAAGGCAGGCCTCGAGAAGGCACACATGTCAGTCTGGTGGTGTGGGGCCTGTCTTATCTCCTCGGCGCAGCTGGAGGCCGAACTGAGCATCCCAGCTGGGCCAGGGAAGGGCAGGGGTGGGGTTTTGATGAACAGAAACTCCGGGGGAAGTGTGAGGAAACGTTGGAAAAGGCCAAGGAAAGCAAGAACCATGTAAATTACTGTTTGCCTTTTGCACATCGCCCAGCCCACTTTGACATGGCAGATGACACACTTCCCCTCACTTTCCTCCTCTGATTTTGGCTGAGATGAGCTGGGTCGCAGAAGCGCCTGGGGCACCTCCCTTACTTCCTTGTCTCTTACAGTCACTTACATGCTTATTTTTTCCAACTAAATTGCAAACTCCTTGAAGGCAGCTACATCTTACTACTCTTTGTGTCCTCCGCAATAGTGAACAGCATAGCTATTCTTAACGCCAGTGGTGGACAGAAGTGTTTTTGCAGGTGAGCTAACGACCCACATGCCTCTCTGCATGTCATGGTCTCTGACTGAAAGCACACAGGGCATCCTATCAAACAGATCCCACCCTTCCCGGCTGTGTCCCCAACTGGCACTTCAACTGGGGAGTTCATCCCAAGGCAGCATCCCCTGCGGCCACGCCAGGCCTGCCACTGAGAGCAACCCCAGAGCTCCATAAGGATGGGGTGCTCCCCTCACTAACATATTTTCTGGGCCTTCTCATGGAATGTTGGCGGGGTAGAGTGGATGTGCAGGTAACACACATGGTACGGTTTAACATGCCTATCTGCCTGGCCCCGGGATTCCTTGATCTACATTGTGTCAGGAAAGTTCTGGTATTGCAGCTATATTACATGTAGGCCATGGGTCCCAGTCTTAGTCAACCAATCAATCAATCAGTCAGTCAGTCAATCAATTCTGAGAGTTACCTTTAGCTTCATGAACTAACACATTAAATGCGGAATCTCTAGTAAGTGTATTCGTATCAGTTAATTGCCCCAATCTAGTGTCATATGTCACCCTCCTCGATCTCACATTCAGAATACATTCCCACGCAGGTCCCTGATTTCTGCTGAGACATATTAGCATAGTTTGCCATTATTTTCTGTGTAAGCTATGTCTTCCTGGGTCACAGTGTGCACTTGCCCCCGAGCATGCTGACATTTAACCCAGTTTACAGGGCTGGTGGGTCTGGAGGAGAATAAAGATCCTCTTTTACGGAATTGCCCCCAGGTGAGGTTATCACAGAGTTTTCCAGCAAAGGGCTGGCTACATCCACTGACAGAGGAGGCTGAGAGTGACGTAGTTTCCAGGTTGTCAGTGTCATCTGCCCCCACTCCAATGATCAGGATCCCAGTCTTCCCTGTGTAATACCCTAACTGTCACAAAAATGTGATGGGTCTGTGCATTCAATTATTGCTGTAATTCAGCAACCCTTCAGTTAAAATGTTGTGCTTGATTTTCAACGATATTACTGCTGTGCCCGAGAAAACTAAATGGTTCCTTATAGCCTTCAGGGACTGTCAGGGAAGCATTCTGGTCTCTGACTGTGACTTGAGCTGAGAGTTGAAAGACACGAGCTTGTCACTTTCTTCCTATGAGGGCTAAGGTGCTCTCAGAAGAATCGATCTCCTACCCCTGTCCTTATAGACACCTTAACTGCCATGATGGTCCAGTGCGGCCACCGCTTGGGCAATCCCTGGCTTCAGCTGGCTCATCATCGCTGTCAACCACAGATGAGAGTTGGATGAACTGCCTCATTTCCCACTGGGGAGGAGCGCGGCCAAAGGGCACGGCCACAGCAATCCTCCAAGTGCCTGTGTGTCTGTCTCCTAGGATCACTACTGATGCAATTCTGTGTCAGTCAGGGGCCAGTTAGGAGGCAGAAACAATATGCTGAATATGGAAGGTTAAGTACAAAGATTCCTACTCACAACAGGGAATTGGAAAGATAGGGAGATGGCGGGTAAGGAGCAAAGAGAATGCTGAGGAATGTAAGAAAATCAGATAGAGGGACCAGCTATTGCCTGAGGGCTGAGACAGATCATCCTTGAAGAGGTCTGGTGACTGTGACTCATCTCACATCAGAGAAGTTCCCTGAGGGTGCAGAGCTGCTGAGGGGGTGAAGGAAAGCTGTTCATGGAGGGTGTTGTACTGTTGGTTCTCACTGGGGTGCCACTGGAGGGGTTGTGGGAGAAGCTGTTCATGGAAGGGGCTGCGCACTGCTGGCCACTGGGCATGGCCGGAAGGGGCCACAGCAGCAGCCACAGGCTGGGAGAGCTGCCTAAGACAGCGGTTCTCAACCTGTGGGTCGCGACCCCTTTGGCGGTCAAACGACCCTTTCACAGGGGTCGCCTAAGACCATCCTGCATATCAGATATTTACATTACGATTCATAACAGTAGCAACATTACAGTTATGAAGTAGCAACGAAAATAATTTTATGGTTGGGTCACAACATGAGGAACTGTATTTAAAGAGCCAGAAGGTTGAGAACCACTGTCCTAAGAGGACACTGCATGCTCAGGCTGGGGATCTCTCCCTCCTTGGGATCCCTCCTCTGCCCTCCACTGTCAGAGCTTATTTCAGCACAACTTGAAAAGGAGAACTATTTAAAGAATTTATCCCTATTATCACAAAGCAGGCAGTGAACTGTTTGGGGACTCCTTTAGGCAATAATGTAATAATCAGCTCAATAAATCTATGTCCTTTAACTGGGAAAACCTTACAGGGAAGACTGGATTTTATTGGGGCTTTGGCAGTTGTTACGAATGGCCCCTTGAGGAGCTGATAAAAGCCATGGACTCTCCCTCTGGATAACTGCACACGTGTGCATACGTACAGTCTCATAGGCAGTCCAGAGTAACTGTCTGAACCCAGATTAAGAACCCCTGGTTAGGTCAATGACTGTTCCCCATGTTCAAATCAGTGACTTATTTATTTGCACCTAGAGTAGCAAATTTAATATTCCAAACTCAACTATGTTTGCTTTCAGCAACAAAGATAAATATTTGAGAAACATAGCCAATAGTGCTAGATAGTTCTATTTTGGGGGGAGGAACTTGGTGAAATTTATCTGGAAGAGAGAGGCTGAATACCAGGGGAAAGGCAAGCATTGTGAAACAATTGCAAGACCACCATTGGGATTTGGACTTGGGTAGCTGCCTGTAGACGGAACGGGGTATCTATCCTGACCTGCTGTGCTTTGGGAAGGTACGTTATGACAGCTGGCCTCCAACACGACACGGATGGTCCTTACCTCCTGGTGTTCATGCTCATGTGTTCTCTCCTCCCACACCGACTCGGAGCTGGTGTTTGTGACCAAGGGCACCGTGCAGGTGACCGGATGATTTCCGAGACTAAGTCAGGAATGCCGTTTCTGCTTTTGCCTTGGTCCATTGGATCTCTTTCTGGGGGAATCCAGCCACCATGTTGTGAGAAACTCAAGCAGTGCTGTGGAGAGATCCACAGGGAGAGGTGCTGAGACTTCGCACCAAGAACCAGCTGCCTTGCCGGCCTTATGGAGAGCCACCTCGGAAGTAGATCCTCCAGTCCCACTGGGCCTGCAGATAACTGAATGCCATCTGCAATCTTGACTGCAGTGTCATGAGACATCGAACCAGAACCATCAGCTAAGCTGCTCCCAATGTTGTGACCCACAGTTTTGGGGTAATTTGTTTTGCAGCAATAGACAACTAATGTATACATTTAGGTCAAAATTCTCTAAAGGGTGAAAAATATAAAGGATTGGCCCCCCC